ATATATATATAGAATGTTGCCGGGAAGTTAAATTACATACAAAGTAGAAGAAGGTAAACTACACCTCAATACTCATTTTCTTTAAGCATGGTGATGGTATTGCGATTCTTTTCTGTGTTGACTACTAAAACTACAGAACATTAGCATAGCAAGCTTAAGCATAATATATAGCTACTAGGTAGCTAAAACCCTAGCTAGCTAGAACCAGATGGCTTGTGCATCTTTGAGCATTTGTTTTAGAGATCCATCGACATGATAGGATATGATGTCTTTCGAGGAGCCGACATATTTCCCGCCTATGAATACAGCAGGAAGAGCAGGGTTGCAGCCGAGGTTTCTCAGTGCCCACTCCATGTCCCTCCCATTGGCGTATTGGTCGAGTTCGTGAATCGCCGGGCTTGCTCCGAGCTCGTAGAAAAGCGTCTTCACGCTGTGGCATATGCAGCAGGAGCTCTTTGTGAAGATCACAGCAGCCTTCTGTGAAGCCAACTCTCTCACACTCTCCATCACTAAAAACAATAATTGGTTTCTTAGAGAACAAGTAATGCAGCTGAGTTACTGGAAATGATGAAAACCGTAAAGCAGAAAGATATTTATGATTTGTGGAGCTTGCGGATGGTGGACTTTGAGGTTCATGTGCCAGGCTATTTATAAAGGATGTGGGGGAGAATTTGTTTAATTTAGATAAAAGGAGAAACAATTTAAGAACCAGAAAAATGGATAAGAAAGAGAAAGTAGCTTTAAAATATTTGGATTGGATAAGAAAAATGCCCCCTTTGTGATGATTTGCATATGATGGTGACTCCGTTAAGATTTTAGACTGGTCATCGGATCGCTTTTTATACCGATATTATCATCTAACTTGCATTTACTACATGCAAAGCTAAGCAGATATATGTGTTTTTCACAAAAGACTAGATGTCAAAAAATATATATTAAAGTTGTCTATTTCGACTTGAAATTCTTGTATTCTTCAACTGCGCCTACTATATGCTATAAACAAATTGCATGCAGCATATTTTTATCACACAATAAATCATAATTCAGATCTCTTGAGATGTCGTACGATGAACAGAATTTGAAACCTTGAATAAGAATCAAATACACACGTGTATATTAAGTTATTAATGAACCCACAAACACACTTTAGGTCCTGGTTGATAGCATCAAGATATACTAATAAATGTTAACATTAGTAATCAATACATTACGTTCACTCATTTTTTGCAATATGTTTGGTCAATTTGTTAAAGTCGTAATCAATACATTACGTTCACTCATTTTTTGCAATATGTTTGGTCAATTTGTTAAAGTCAGATCTGGCTAGGACTTGGTTGCCCTAGCTAGCTAGATATTATATAGTATGGATTGGAGCAAAAGATTTTTCAGTGTACTAGGAAAACAGAGAGCGTACGCCACATGTTATTATTATACAAGTGGTGAAAAGTTCTTTTTTCAATTGTTCCTCCAATTATACAATTACATGTGGTGTATTGTCTTGTGTTCTGGGAATACCAAAAAATCTTTGATTGGAGGGGCGCCTTGACATTATACATTAGCAAGGGATTGAAAACTATAACTCAAATGATTAACCTGCGTCTGAATTTTTATGTTCGACTCCCCTGTTCCGATGTTGTTTCACTGTATGCATCTAGTTGTTAGGATTGCATTGCATTGCATGTTCTGTGCTTTGCTCTTTGTGAATATGGTAGCTGGCTGCTAGCTAGAGTGATGCACGTGGCTGATGCGGAGAAAGATAGAGTTTATCCAATTAAATTCCACTTTGTTCATATGGTCCCTCCATGAAAATGCAGGGAATATATAGGGATTGGGACTTTTAACAACATAGTTGACTTAATAATAACGAACCTACAGGATCGACCTTCAAAAGTTATGATCTATATATTTTTGGGTTTTACTAGTACTTTAAACTAAGTACTAACTGATGTGTGATAGTGTTTTAATTTATTCGCTCATATCTATTCTTAGATCCCGCATTATTCAGGAGAGTGGATGTTTTATGCTTTATATGTACATGCCCACTTTCATATAGCACGAGACTTTTTGGGAACTTATTGGCTTCGGATTTCATCAGAACTTTGAAGTTAAGCAAGTTCGGACGAGAGCAATCCTCAGATGGGTGACCCACTGGGAAGTTCTCGTGTGAATTCCCAGAAACAAAACCGTGAGGGCAATCCTAAGATGGGTGATCCACTGGGAAGTTCTCATGTGAGTTCCCAGAAACAAAACCGTGAGGGCGTGGTTAGGGCCCAAAGCGGACAATATCGTGCTACGGCGGAGTCGAGCCCAGGATGCGGTGGAGCACGGGTCGGGATGTGACAATTTGGTATCAGAGCCAATCCCTGGCCGGAAGTGTGTCGACGAGGACGTCGGGCCCCTGAAGCGGGTGGATTGTTAGATCCCACATCACCCAGGGGAGAGGATCCTCTATGCTTTATATGTACATGCCCACCTCCATATAGCACGAGGCTTTTTGGGAACTCACTGGCTTCGAATTCCATCGAAACTTCAAAGTTAAGCGAGTTGAGTTCCCAGAAACAAAACCGTGAAGACGTGGTCGGGACCCAAAACGGACAATATCGTGCTATGGTAGAGTCGAGCCTGAGTCGGGATGTGACATCTATAATTCAATCATGCATGCATGCATGTCTTTTATCACGTCCGTCAGTATTAGAAACTTGAGATTTTATTTTGAAAAATTATTAATTGTTCATATGTGATGTGTTATTGGATGAGCACATTACCAAATATTTAGGTTTAGTCAAGTTGGCTACAACATCGGGTATTACTAATCACATTTAAATTCGAATATCTCTGCATTTCAAAAGAAATACATAAAAGGAAATTTTATAAATTAGAGCTAAGGAATACTTAAAAGAAGAATATTTTATAATAAATTCAATGTAATCATCATTTGATTTATAAAAAGTGATTAAAAAGAATTAAAAGGAATAAGCTACCTCATCCCAAAATTCCCAAAGAAAAAAAGAATTTTATTCCAACATTGCTGAACGTTGGGAAGAAATGCATCTTCGTGATTGTTCAACATTCTATACATACTAAAAGCCGGTGGAAAAGCACTGTTCATTAACGGTGCCCTGCCGGTTATGCCCCTAATCTAACCACAGTTTTTTGGCTTCTTCAAGATGCTACATGAATTGGCAATTTTGCCCATGCCACACGCGTTCTGGGGTTTTTCGCACTTGCTCTCCCCATGTGCGTCGTTTTTGGTGGGGAAGGTGCTCGAAGGCTCTTCCATTTTCTTCGTCTCTGTTTCTGTGCTTTTCCCTTGTGATATTCTATATGCAGGAATAAGGCACATGTCATCACATCCCATCCAATACAAGAATAAAGCCATTAATTCATGATCTCGATGATTCATGACATTAGCAATTTTAAATTTTCTACACTTATTTTGTATGTGGTGATTATGTGACCTATCATTAATTGACACGTATTAATAAATTTAATTTTTTTTAATTTTTTTGTTATATTAATAATAAAAATCACAAAAAGACCACACAAAATAAGTGCAAAATTTTTGATCTCGACATTAGCAATTCAACATTGTCGTCCTTATCAGTCAACATACATGATGATAACAATGATCAACATAGTCAGGGTTCCATTTTCTCCTCCGTAACAAAAAAAAATAAAAAAATAAAAACAGTAAAATAGAAGTTTATAGATGGCGAAATTTTCTGAACTCTCCAGGATACTTTTCGTATTATCTGACTTCATTTCATATATTTAAAATGTAGCCAGGAAAGTTACATACGAAGTAAAAGAAAAATGGAAAATTAAACCTCAATACTCATTTTCTTTAAGCAATGGTATTGGGATTCTTTTCTGTGTATACTACTAGAGCTAATTAACAGATCATAGCTTAAGCTTCATGTGTAATAATATAAGCTGCTAGCTAGCTAGAACCAGATGGCTTTTGCATCTTTGAGCATTTGTTTTAGAGATCCATCGACATGGTAGGATATGATTTCTTTCGACGAGCCGACATATTTCCCACCTATGAACACAGCAGGGAGAGCAGGATTGCAGCCGAGGTTCCTCAATGCCCACTCCATGTCCCTCCCATTGGTGTACCGGTCGAGCTCATGAATCGCCGGGCTTGCTCCGAGCTCGTAGAAAAGTGTCTTCACGCTGTGGCATATGCAGCAGGAGCTCTTTGTGAAGATCACAGCGGCCTTCTCTGAAGCCAACTGTCTCACACTCTCCATTACCGAATAATAATTGGATTCTTAGAGAACAAGTAACGCAGCTGAACTACTGGAAATGATGAAAACTCTAAAGCAGAAAACTAAGTAAGATTCGTGAGGTTTGGCGATGGTGGACTTTGGGTTTCATCTGCCTGGCTATTTATAAAGGATATGGATAAGAAAGGGAAAGTAGCTTTAAGCAAATATGGAAATTTTATCCCAAAACCATCCACAATATAAGGCATATTTAATTTGTCAACTCTCAAACATGGGATTCTTTTATTCTTCAACTGACCCCTGCAACATGCTATTAAAAAATAAACATAAAAAAAAAAGTGCATGCAGATTGCAGCATATATAATCACACAGTAATCATAGTTCAGATCTCCTGGAATGTCCGTACGATGACTAGGTCTTAAAAACTTAAGAATCATAGGCAAGTGTGTGTATCTATTAACCCACCAAAACTTTCGGTCCTCGTTGATATATAGCATCACTACCGCATCAGGATATACTAAAAAAATAATAGCAAATAAATATAGTAAATTAACTCTTCGGGGAAGAAGGAGACAACAAGAATGAACTTTATCAATTAAACACATTATTTTGGAAAAAAAAAAAAAAGAATAATTAAACACAAAATGTTCACAGGGAACCCAGTTCTTTCTTTAAATTTTGCAACAATTTTCTAAAGTCAGTATTTAGCTAGGAATTTGGGGCCCTATATAGCTAGATAATTTATACAGTGGAGTGCTAACAACTTTTGCACTAACCTTTTAATGTTGGGGTGTGCTATCCACACACCATTTTTTACTTCATACACACATTTTTAATTCATGACCGTCGGATCGATTGAATTAAAAAATATCAAATAACAAAAATTAACAAATGATGTATGAGAAGTACAAAAAGATATATGGATAGCACACTATTTTAATATTTTTGGCTAGAAATTAGTGATGAAACATAGAAAAGATAATTTCAATTTCAAAGGAGTTAAAGATCGTGTTCCGTAGAAAAATGACACGTGAAATGTGAAGCAGTAAGAAGATCTAAATGCAAAAGCTGCTATCATTCTTCTTTTTCATATTTAATATATTTTTCCGGACACCTTGACATTGTAATTTGTATATGCTACTAAATTCTTCAACGAAAGTCACAATGTCATGCATAAAGATAACCCTATATATTTATCATAGTAAACGAAAATGAGATCCACCATTTTAATTCCTTATTGACTTATGAACCCAATTCTTGATTTTCTTCGTGTAGAATAGGGTCCATCTCTAAAGAATTTCTAAAACAATTCTCTTTTTTAATAAAGAAAAGTTTACGGGGAGATAGGTTACAAATCACTACCAGCGTCAGGACATACCTACAATCTTAAGCCGAAAGTGATATCTAATTGCTAAGTGTCACTGGTATGAATTTATGTAGGAATTAGTTTATAGATCGCGCATAAACAAAAACTTGGAATGGGTGTTAACCACAAGCACGCCCTTACCAACTAAACCAACCATGTTGGCTCCCTAAAACAATACAATACATATAGATATAATAAGAGACTTATAATTTAACTGATTGATCTAAATTTGTTAAATCAACAATTAACCAAGGAATGTGTTGAGACTCTCCTTTCCCAATATCACTCGAGTACTCAAAAATGCTACTTTTATCACATAGTTGTAGCATCATTTGTAGCATTTATCTAATAGAGAGGAGACTCATATGCTTTAACAGGTCCTATCTCTATTAGAAAATAGTTCAAATGATTGTACAAATAAATGGTAAGTGTAGCATTATTCCTCGAGTACTACATGCGTGCATCAAACTGCTTTCTGTTAGGATTGCATTGCATTTTGTGTGTTTGTTTCTTTTATGAATATGGTAGTGTTCATGTACGTGGCTGATGTGGAGAAAGATAAGGGTTTATCCAAATGAATTGTTCGATAAGGTCCTTCCATGAAATTCAATGAATATTTAGGGATAGGGACTTTTGACAGTTGTCGAATGAGAAACTAACTTACATGACCGACCTCCAAAATTATGATTTATGTTTGATACTTATACCTATTGTGGCGATATATGATAATGTTCAATTTATTCCTTTATATCTATGATCAATAATGCATGCGTATGCATGTCATTTGGTACTTATACCTGTTGTGGTGATATATGATAATGTCATTTTGTGTGTGTTTTTTTTTAATACAAGTAATAGTGAGAAGCGGGAAATCAAACTAGGAACCTCGATTTTGTTTTGACGGATCATTATTCCTCTGTTATGTAGAGGCAACGTCATGAAGGGAGTAAGATGGTCCCAGGCTCATTTTGATTTTTTCACACAAAAAAATTTAGTATTATGCTTATAATTTTTAAGGTTCTTTATAGGCTCAGGGCCTAATTCGACGTTTTTACTTTAATTTCTTTCATCGAGTTTGATTTGAGATTGGTGGCTTTTATGGAGTTCAGGCAATCTGCTGCTTGTGGTTAAGGAGGACTCTGGTCTAGGGATCAGTGGTAGGAGAGGGGAAGAAAGTCAGAGAGCTTGAGGTTCAAGTTTAAGGAAGAGGATAATGATAAGGAGGACATCATACCAGACCCAAACGATGGTGGTCGGTTGCTCATCACACGACAAAGTAATTTTTATAAAATCAAGTAAGTTTCGAATTGAGACTTTTGGACTCCTTCTAAGCTAAAATCCTGACTCTGCCGTTATGTGTTAGTAAGTCAACTGCCCTACCACTGCAATCTCATCCCAAAAACTCCAAGAGAGAAAGAGCTTTCATTTGAGGACTGTAACATTACGTTAGGGAATGGATGCATCTTCGGGAGTGTTCTGCATGATCTTCAAATGCAAAGAATCCTGATATGAATTATCCGAGAATATGACACGTATCTCCTCCATAAACATATACTCATCCCACCCAATACAAGAATAAAGATAAATAAAGCTACATTCATGATCACGATGCATGACATTTGCAAATTTAGCACTATCCTCGTCAATCAACATGCATGATGACACCACTGACAAAGGCATTTAGATTTATGATTGGATGATGACGCAGCAATGCTCTTTGCACTCCAATTAGAATACATATTTCTTAATTCGGATCTCATTCAAATATTGCTAGAAAAACCCTATATTTTCAAATACAAATTCTTTGAATATTAGAACCACGTTATTTGTAAAACATGGTACGTTTTATATTCTAATACCACCAAACGTCACATTCTTACCGTATATATATGTGTAAGATGCTCTAATGAAACAACCTAACCAAAATTTTTGTTCTGAATAATAAACGAATGTTGGGCTCATTTTTTTCATAATTTAGTAGGTTATTCACTTTAATTCAATTATATGTTTCAAAAGAGCCCATTTACTTTATTGTTTATTTTTGCTCACTCCTCCTAATCCAAGGTAACTGTTAATCCCACCCCTTTCACAATTGTGTCGCGTGTATAAAGAGTATATACTAACTGTGGATGCAAATTTCGCTCTTCTTCTTGGACGAAAATGCACCTGCAAAACAATTAACATCTAAGGTCAAGGTCAAGAGCCTCAAGCACCCACGATGAATTTGTTGGGGGGGGCTTTGGCCGAAGAACCTCTGATGCCAAAGTTAGAATTTGAGAGAGAAAGTGTTTGGAGAAATTTGGAGAATTTTAGAAAAGAATTGGACTTGGGTTTTTGGAGAAATGAGGGTGTTTATATAGGGGTGTGGCCGGCCCTCTTTGGAGAGAAGGGGTCCGACCACTTAAGGTGGTTTTGGCTCTAATTGCAAGATATTATATCAAAATAATATCTTGCAATCAATTAGAAAATTAATTAGGAAATTAATCAATTAATTTAGGTAATTAATTCTAATTTGAATGAATAATCGAGGGTTACCTTTGTGGGGAGGATTTGATGAGGATGGATGAAATATGTTTTGAATAAATACCTATTTTGATAACTTTTGACCTTGATTGAATCGTGATTGTCAGCTGCTTGAGCGTGGGAGTTCCGGTTTGCCTTGAGAGTAATTTTGTCTTTTTAACCCAAAAATCCACATGTCGCCACCATATTTTTCTTGATTATTTTTTGCTCCACAAATGCCCCCACACCTGCTAGGCTGCTCACAGGAAATGGCAGCAGGTGTAGAGATCTCCAACTTTGATGCAGATTCTCATTTTTACTTGGAATTAGATTCTTCTAGGAAAGGGAAATAAATCACCTCCAAAGCCTATTTAAGCCTACCTTAAGTAGGGGATTAAATAAACTTTGGAGGGCAATTATTTATCGCTACAAGAAAGAGAGAAAACTAGAGGATATTTGTTCCCCCTCCCCTAGCACTCTTCTTTGCTTGCCCGTTCAAAAAACCGTTTTCCGTTGATTTCTTTGTCTTATTCGCGCCGCACCAATATAAGAAAAACTTAATTCTTCTTATCTTCTCCTTGGGTGGTGCTGCCACAGGGCAGCCGTTAGGGTGGTGCGGCATGTCAACCGGCAGAGGCCAGGAGTCAGCTCGGCATGGGCCAAGGAGGAGGTGTGGCAGGGGTCATTGCTTGTGCTGCTCGGCTTGACTAAAGCTAAGGATTGGCTCGACATGGGCCAAGGAAGTGGCATGGCATGGGCCACGATTTGGGCTGCCATGTCTGGGCTACTTGCCAAAAATGAGGAAACTGCTTGAGTTTGATTTCTCAGCTGCCGTAGATGGAGCTGCCAAGATCGGAGCTGCTAAAGATAAAGTGTCGAATGAGCAAACTGTTGAGTGCAAAGTGGCTGCTGCCCCCTGACCGTTTGCTACTTAGTTGGTCTTCAAGCAATCGATCTTTTGAGCTATGTGGCATTCTCGCACTGGAGAGCTTACCTAGATGGTTGTCGGGGAATTAGTTTACCTTCTCGCACTGGAGAATAATTAGTTTACCTTATCGCACTGGAGAATAATTAGTTTACCTTATCGCACTGGAGAGCTTACCCATATGGGTGTCGGGGAATTGGTTTACCCTCTCGCACTGGAGAGCAATTAGTTTAACCTCTCGAACTGGAAAACAGACTCATATGGGTGTCGGGGAATTGGTTTACCCTCTCGCACTGGAGACCAATTAGTTTATCCTCTCGCACTGGAGAGCAGACCCATATGGATGTCGGGGAACTGGTTTACCCTTTCGCACTAGAGAACAATTAGTTTATCTTCTCGCACTGAAGAGCAGACCTATATGGATGTCAAGGAATTGGTTTACCCTTTCGCACTTGAGAGCAATTAGTTATCATCTCGCACTGGAGAGCAGACCTAGATAGAGCTTTGAACAGTCATTGTA